AAAGCCGCCATCGCCGCCTCTTCCCAGGCCACCCAAACCTTCCTCCTCTTCACATCCCAAGCCGCCACCCAAACCAAAGCCGCCATCGCCGCCTCTTCCCAGGCCACCCAAACCTTCCTCCCCTTCACATCCCAAGCCGCCACCCAAACCAAAGCCACCATCGCCCAAACCGCCCTCCCGTGCACCTCCCAAGCCGCCGCCCAAGCCAAAGCCGCCATCGCCCAAACCGCCACCCAAACCAAAGCCGCCAAGCTTGCGGCCGCCACAGCCGCGGCCGCCACAGCCGCCATCCCCTCGGCCTCCCAAGCCTCCCCCAAGGCCGTGCCGCCCGCGCAAGCTGTGATCGCCCATCACCTCAAAACAAAACAGCAACAGCTGCAGCGGCAGGCCAGGTCGACCGCGGCACTGCATGCTGCTGCTGTGTGTTCCTGCCTTCAAATTGAATCACCCAACAATTGTTGAATCCTCAAACAGAAACGAAACACCGACGGAAACGAAAGATGCATGCCGGGCCGCCGAGAAGGCACAGGCGGTGGCCGTGGCGGCGGGGGCAGGTGGTTGCGATGCGCTACCCCGCCCCGCTGCCACCTGCTAATGCTGCTCCTGCCGCCGCTGCCGCCGCTGCTGCTGCTCCTGCTGGCGCCGCTTGGCCGGGTGGGTCCCAGCTCAGCAGCTCCAGTGCCAGTGCCGCCACCCAGCCGCAGCTGAGCAGCGCCCACCAGGCGGCGGCGGCCAGCAGCGGGGGCCCCGCCCGCCCCGTCAGCATGTCGCACAGATGCTGCACCCCGCCCTCCGCCTCCGCCGCCACCCAGCACAGCCAGGCGGCACACCCGCTGGCCCCGCCGCTGCCGCCAACTCCTCGGCTCCGGCCCCCGCGATGCCGCCTGCCGCGCCGGGTGCGGTCCTGCCGCTGCGCCTGCGCCGGCTGCGCCGGCTGCGCCAGGGGGGCTGGCGGCAGCTGGCGCTGGAGGGCCGCCAGGACGAGGGTGGGCAGCAGCAGGCCCAGCAGCAGCTGGTAGAAAGTCACAAACACTCGGCAGTCAAGCTCCTCCGCCCGGCCGCCTCCCCCGCTGCCTCCCATGCCGCTGCCGCTACCTCCCATGCCGCCGCTACCTTCCATGCCTCCCATGCCGCCGTTGCTGATGCCTTGCACGCCGCTGAAGCCGCCGCTGCCCGCAAGCGCCAGCCGCGGCACCAGCAGCGGCAGCTGCAGGGGCAGCAGTGGGGGGTGGGAGTGAGCCAGGTGCAGGGGGCCCCTGTACGCACAGGCTGGCAAGCTGGCTGCTGGGGTGGACTTTGGCAGCTTATAAAACCTTCTGTATAAAATCAAACATGTGGCCCAGCGGGCTCAGCAGGCTCAGCGGGCTCAGCGGGCTCAGCGGGCTCAGCGGTCTCAGCGGGGCGACCAACTCCCAGCCCCCCCCTCACCGCTTCCGCCAGGCGGTGCACCCAGGCGATGCGGCGGCGCCAGGTGGCGTGCTGCAGCATGGGCTGCGCGCACATGTAGGCTGTGGTGCGCGTGCGCTGCAGCGCAGGGGGGTGAGGTGTGCAGCGGGCGAGGAGGCGGGAGAGGGAGCGCGGAGGTCAGCACAGCAGGGCACGAAAAGGAGGGCGGCTGCTCGCACAGCTCCGCCTGGCACGGCACGCGGAGGCTGTGACTGGCAGCAGCTCGGGCAGCGTGTGCGGCGTGGGCAGTGCTGCCGTCGCGCTGGTCAGGAGGCGCAGGGAGGTGCGGGTGGGCGCGGAGCATGGGCTGGGTGGGGGGGAGAGAGGGGGCGCTCAATCACCTGCACCGCGTAAGCTGCCAGGGCCAGGTGCGGCAGCAGCGGCAGGGGGCAGATGAGCGGCCCCATCAGCAGAGCCAGCCCCCGCGCGGCTGCAACATTAGCAGGGAGGGGGAAGAAAGGAGGTCAGGCCTGCTGGGCGGGAGGCAGCGCGGCAGCGGCAGCAGCGTGCAGCACGGGCAGCGGCCCGCGGGCGGCGGCTGCGCCGCGGCGGCAGCAGCCATGAGCGGCCCGCTGCCAGCCCTGCTGCCCGCCGCAGATGCCGCCCCCTGCAGCCGCGCCCGCCCCGTGCTGCGCTCACCCAGGGTCAGGGTGAAGAGGTCTGTGGCACCAGCAAACAGGCGTTGGGAGGGCTGGCCCTGCAGGCAGGCAGGCAGGCAGGCAGGCAGTAGGGCTGGAGGTGGGCTCAGACGGCAGGCAGGCAGGCAGGGGTGCAGCAGGCAGGCGGGCGGGCGCGTCACGCCAGCCCCAGCGCCCTTGGCAGCTGCATGCAAGGCAGCTGCCTGCCAGCTTCAGCCTCAGATGGCATCCGCCAAGGCGCCACTTGCCCCCTGCCCGCCACGCCCGCCGCCACACCCGCCACACCCACCGGCCCACACCCACCACCGAGCCGCCCGCCTGCTGCCAAGGCCAGCCGCCGCCTCGCAGCCGCCGCCCAGCCCGGGGCGTACCTGCAGTACCGCCTGTACGTCCTGCGGGTCCCTGATGTACGGCAGTGAGAAGTAGGCGAGGCGGGTGGCGCCCAGTACCGCCTGGCTGTGGCGGCGGTAGAAGCGGGGAGCAAGCGCGGGGACCAGTATGAGCAGTACCAGCTCCAGTACCATCACCGAACCCATGTTGGCCAGGCCCGCCAGGTGGCGGGCACGAGATCCAGCCGCCGTCCACCGCAGGATGGACAGCACCTGAGGGGAGGGAGGCGGGGAGGGGGCGCCGAGCGGTGGCAGCACCCAGCAGGCGGGCGGGCGTCAGCGGCGCGGCACGCTCTGCCAAGCGGTCGTGCGATGCACCCGGGGGGGTATTTAGAGGAGGCAGGGGCTGGAGAGGGTGCCAAGCGGACGTGCGGGGTGGAGCAGGTGTGGTGAGCAAGCACAGCCAACAGGGCAACATAGTGCGCAGGATGAGGTGCGGCCCGGCGTGTGCGGCGGCGGCGGGGCCAGCCTCAGCACCTGAACCAACAGCGCGACCGCGCCGCTGACCAGCTGCAGCCGCGGGTCGGAGCCGGGGGGCGGCGGCTGCGGGCAGGGCGGCGGGGTGGGCACGCGAGAGCGCCTGGCGGCGCGGCGGCGGGCGTGGCGGGCGGCGGCGGCCGCCGCCGCCTCGGCTTCGGCCGCGCTGGCGGCCCTGGAGCGGGCGACCAGGAAGACCAGGGACGTGAAAGCCACGAACAGGGAGTGCAGCAGCATAGGATAGGACAGTCTTGGGGCCTGAACACCAGCTGCAGCAGGGAGCAACAGCGGCGGGCGGCAGTGGCGGATGAGCGGGAGGCGGGGCCGCTCCGAAGGCTGCGCATTGCGTCTTGCAGCTGCTGCCCGTGTATGGATGCACGGCAACGCACCCTGGCGGCCAGAGCAGCGGGTCCCGGAGTTTCAGCTGCACCCTACTTCGACAAAGCGCTCTCCCTTGCTGCTGGAACGGAGCCTCTACTGCAGCCAATCAGGCTGCCTGGATTTCATCAGCGGTCTGCTCCCGAAGCACTGTGCATGGCGTGTGTCGATGGTTCTTGCCTCACAAGAAGAAGAAGACGAATGCCACACAACATGCCAAACCCCCCGGAATGGCATGGCGACGTTTGAGGATGCCAGGCTGGCGCCGCAGCCGCCGATCCCGGCCCTTGCGTGCACGTCGTGTCCCAACGCGCTCTCCATGCTCCTCAGGTGCCAGTTGCCACCCTGAAAAGCTAGGGCGCAAACAACCTTCATTGCCACCACTTGCCAGACACGGTCGGCAGCGGCAGCGGGCCCCCGGCCATACTGAGGCGGAGCCAGGCCAGCGTCGGTTGGCGCTGGGGGGCAAAGCGCTGGCAGCAGCCCCAGACCTGTGGCCTGCCTGACCTAGCTGACAGTGGCCGCCCAATCCTCCCCTTCGTGGCACTAACAGCTGCGACTAATTGTCCTGACAGCAACGCAGCTGTACCGCTGCCGCGCGCGACGGTCAACGCAACGGCACCGCCCGCGCGCTTGAACTCCTGCTGCTAGTGCAGCCTTGCTCCAGCACAATCCAGGAGCACCTCCGGGGTCCCGACCCTCTCATCAAGGGAGGCCGTCCATTGAAATTCAAGGGGGCCGCCATTGCAGCGTAGCACGGCCCATCGCAAATGTTCGTGCACGGCAGGAGGCAGGCGGGCGCTGCTGGTAGGTGGATGGCATCCCCCGCGCCCCACCAAACTCTCAAGAACGGCGCAGTACTATCTCCCTGCTCGCTGCTCCCTTGCGAAGCCCCGGGACCCACCGCAACATGCCCGCGATCCCCGCCGCCCCGCCCCGTGTGCCCGCAGGAGCCGGCCGCCGACCCTGCGCCCAGCGCCGCCGCCGCCGTGTCCCGCCGCCGCCTGGCCGCCGTGCCGTGCGGCACGATCGAGGTGCCCGACAACGGCACCACCATCTCGGGGCAGGGTGTAGTGCTGAAGTACAACCAGGAGCTGTACGTGGATGGCGTGTTTTTCGGCACCCTGGACACTCCCGACAACACCACCGACGACCGCTTTGTGCAGCGCTTTGCAAACGGCGGCGACTGCTGCAGCCAGGACGGCTCCCTGTGCCCCACCACCAACTACGGCATCGTGCGCTTCGGCTGCAACATGTCGCGCACGGCGGACACGGTGAGGCGGGCAGGAGGAGCGCCCGGCGGCCGGCACACCGCCAGCACATGCTGCCGCCGCGCCGCTCGTCGCCGCATCGCGCAGCGCCGAACGCAGCCACGGCGGCCTTGTTGCGGCAGCGGGAGCGCTTGCGTGGAATGGGGTCGCCACGGAAGCAGGCTGGCTGCCTCGCACGAAAGAAGCAAGCAAGCACGCACACGTGCACGCGCGCCACCGCCCCGCCGCTCACCATCCCCACCCGCCACCCACACGCAGGTCATCAACACCACCAACATCACAATAGACTTTGGCTTTGAGGAGCTGGCCTGCGGGCGGGAGGTGCTCATCTTCACGCGCCGCCTCTGGTGAGCTGGCGTCCCTGGCGGCGGCGGGGGCGGCGGTACCGGGCGGCCGCGCAGCAGCCTGGCCTGCCGGACCGCTGGCTGCTCGCTGGGCACGCAGGAGGGGCGCGACCGCTGCTGGTGATAGAACCGGCGGCACCCACTTGGCTCAGACCAGCCCAGGGTGCAGCGGGCGCAAGCTGCTGCGCCCGCTTTGCTCGCTGGAGGCTTTGGCCTGCCAGCCCTCCACTCCACCCTCACCTGCCATGCCTCCCTCCTCCTGTCCCGCCCTGCCGCAGCCCACCGGTCTACGAATGCTCCCCTTCGGCCATCGGCC